CCCAGCTGGAGGGAGGCCAGCAAGTGCCCCTGGTTTCTCTTGCCAACAGTGGCTGCCCCCATGCGCCCCAGTCGCGTGGCCCCTCCTCTGCCTGAGCTTTTTCTCTCCTGGCTCCTGGCACCCAGCCCCCTCCAGGGCCCACAGCCCTTACTCCTGGAGATCTCTCCCAGAGTGGCATGTACTAAGTGTTCCACTGTGTTGGGGATCCAGGGCTCAATTATCACACCAAAGCCCATACCCAGCCCTGTCCCCCAGACCCCTGGTTCCGCACACCGGCCCCACTGATGTCTTTGTTCCACTAGGGCATCTCCAGATTTGGACTATCTCCGAGGGGCCCAGCCAGGCCGTGGAGGGTGACCAAGTGCCCAACAGAACAGGAGTTGCTGAGGCCTGAGGTCAGTGGGCTGGGGCTTCTCTTGTGACCAGTCCCCCGGGCTGGATCCCTGTAGCCTCCACTCTGGCCAGCAGAGACTGCCCTTCCTTGGCCAGGTTGGCAAAGCCTGGCCCGCACCCCCTGGTCAGCTCCTCACTCAGTTTCTTAGTCAGGGAGGGGTTCTGTGGGGTGGCGTCCTCTACCATTTGTTCAAGGAGTGATGTTGAAAGCAGCCAGACCTAGGTCACCTCTGGGCCTCAGTTTCCTTATCAGTTAACTGGGGGCGGTTCCTTTGCCACAGGGAGGCCACGAGGAATAAGGAGATCACATGTCTGCTAAGTCGGGGTCTGTTTTGAAGCCCAGGAATGGAATATGGGACACAGTGATGCAGTGATGGGAGGGTGCTGTTTATCCAACACTGACAGCGTAGCTGAGCGCCCAATGAGCTGATTTTTCTCTCCCATTAGAAGATGAGGTCACTGATGTTCAAGCAGATTCTGAACATTCTCGATGCAACACTGTCAAGAGGCCGGGCTCTCCCACATCTCCAGGGCATTCTTTGAGGTTGTGGCCTCTGTCTGGGTCCCGGTGCTGTCACGCTGCTGGGGTAGGGAGGACTCAGGGCTGCAGGCTGCACATTCCTGCTTGTCACAGCCAGCACCTGCCCTCTCGCTTTCCAGTTGCTTTTCATCCCCAGGAGCTCTAATACGTCCACTCGAGTCCAGTGGTGCATCCCTCCTGGTTTTCCATTTCAGCAATTCTGAAAGATGCCCCCCTAACCCAGGCCTCCCAAAGTGACTTTCCTGGGAGGATTCTTTAAGAGTCATCTGGCCCGAGTTTTGACTCTCCTGCTACACCTGGTGGAAATCAGTCCAGCCCCTTTCATGGGACATGGTCACAGGCCAACAGCCGGGACTTTATTTCTCTCATGGGGCTGAGGACCACTGTCTGTGGGTCTCACAAGCAAAGGCACAGGTCACTTCTGTTTGGACCATCGTTTCAGTGATGTCTGTGGTAAAGAAGAACAATGGAAAGTAAAGGCAGTGTCTCCCTCTGGAGCAAAATATGCCGGAAAGTATCCTGCAGGCAGCATGAAATCCCAGACCGTCCCCAGCTCTGGACACTGATGGAGGTGAGGGGGAGGAAGACCTGAAATCGATGGTCGTGATTGTGGTCTGACCAAACTCAAGGAGCAGCTTTGGAAGAATTCCAGGCTACCAGGCCCCGAGCTGAGGCCTGGCCTTCAGAACACACGCAGGTCCCTGGCCTTGGAGATGGGCCCGGTACTGAATAGTAACAGGGTGTGGGTGATGTAGCAGACATCATGGAGGGTACGGGGGTGCCCCTGACCCAGTCCATTTTTCTCCTCACTGAAGTGCTTGGCCCACTCCAGCCTCAGGCCCAGGATCCTTACACCTTGTGGGCTGAGCAGGTCATCTCCTCACACACACTGCTCAAGGCCCAGAAACTATGGTTACCCCTGGGAAAGCCCCAGGTCTTGGGGAGTCAAAGGGGCTGTCTGTAAGCTCAGTGATTACAGATATTTGCTCCTACCGCTAACCTGCATTGGGCCCCAGGGATTCCCTGGGCCCCCAGATGCCTCTTCCATCAGTCTCACCCTCAGTGACCCACAGGCATGGCAGATGGCTGGAGTCTGGGAACAAATGAGAAAACTGCCCCTCTTCTGCCCTGCTCCATGTCAGACCTTGGTCACACGTGAGCATCAGAGTGTGACTCAAAATCCTGCTTTGCCAAGCGCACCTGGCCTTTGTGGAGGCATTAAGAAGCTGCCCTGTTCTGCCTGTGCCGAGAGCTCCTGGGGCAGGTCCTGGATGCCCTACCCTGGTGTCCCAAGTCAGCTCAGGGCCAGGGACAGTCCTATGTGCTTGAGAAAGGTTTCAGGATGACAGTGACTTGGCAGGAAAGGGGTGCTGGAGAGAATGAGGTCCCGGGACCCGGGCAAGAGATATAGGCAAATTCTACCAGAACCAGGTCTGAGAGACACACAGCCATAATTTTACTTCAACCTTAAATGTAACAGTGGAGGAGGAAGATTTTATGTCGGGGTGATAACCCTCACACACACACAGACACACTTAAGACCCAACTGGAGGGACAGACATCAGACCAGCAGTCCCAGAGGTGGAGCTGGAGGAAGGGCCGCCCCCAAAAGCACCTAGGGCAGCTATGGGAATGACTGAGCTGCTGGCTGCTGCGGTGGCGGGATGCTTACATCTCTATGTGCATTTATAAATACTCACAAAGTGTTTCTAAATGTTGTGATTTTTAGTGTATGTAAATTATATCTTAGAAAAGAAGAAAAAGTGGAAGAAGATTCCAAGGAGCAAAGTCTCACTTAGAGATTGTGAACAAGTCTTGAGAAAGCAGAGGACACTCTCCCCAGAACAGGGAGGGAGGGAGCAGGTGTGGGCAGAGAGGGACCCTGGCTTC